GTACGAGTAATCGCCAAGTTCGACGGAAATCTTAGGCAATTGTGAATGTAAACTCCAACATGAGATACAGATCATTTGGTATCAGTTGATATAAACTCATTTCCTTGGCGGTCGTATATTTTATAACACAGAGATTCTTTGCCGTAGTTTTTGTATTCGACTACTTCAGGAACGCAAACAATTGTGCCGGGTATTTGGACGACATATTTCATCGGCATCGACATGAGACTGCCGCTGGCGAAATCTGAATCCACCATAGAAACCATTTAGATTGAAGATTATGAAGTGTTTTCTCATACATGCTTAGGCGATTATGTTCGACTTCGCGACATCTTTTGGCTAGGAGCGGATTATATCACTGAAGAGACTTCCACAGGCGTACTCTGCCACCGTTGTGTAATCACAGTCACTATAGCTGCTTGTTGTTACAGGACTAGGATTTCATTATTGTGTTCCAATATAACGTGCCTTATTTCTCTTATTCCTGTAACATTCTGCAGATTTCGTAAGCATCGCGCTCGAACTAACCAAAATTTACATTGTAATCGATTGTACTTTGGCCTACAGGATGGAGAGGACAGGAGTCATGAAGCTGTAGTGATTGGAAAATTAACGTACCACTTGTTTTGTTGTGACATGGGGCACAGGGTGCCATTTTCTCGCTTGTGTCCACGAAGAGTTTTTCCTGACTCTTCAACAACTTGCGGTATATGAATAGTGGAGCTGTACGTTGTAGCGCTTGCTCTTATTCTTCATTTTGGTAGCATTATAACCCTTCTGTTAGGCAGATTCTCTCGAGCTTTCAATCGCTCTCTCTTTAGCTTCTGGATGATAACTTTTCCAAGGCGCCTTCTCTTGTTCTTCCTGAATGTGCTGATCAGAAAGGTTTACCATCGGAGCAGTCACTCGACCAATAAGAGAATGGTGTGCCATTTAACGACGCACAAGCGTGTTCTTTGAAGCAAAGTCCAGCAAGTACCCTAGAAGCTCCATCACAATCTATTTAGCAACACTCAACCATGGAAGCATGGACTAAGATGGATAAGGTATCGCACCAGAATTCATGAATGACCTTCTCCACTGCCCTTTAGATGTAGCGAGTGTTCCAACCAAACGACTGCCTTGACATTCCAATCGACGAAGTCATAGTCCTTCTAAGCTCTACGCCTTCGGTCAATATTGCTTTTTTTCAATCTTTGAGATCTTCTTTCACCGCTTTGTTCCATTAGTTTACAAGCTCGGCGATGAGTTGGCGGTTGCCGGCAGCCCGTGTTGCGCATCGTTTTTGATGCAGGCCAAAACTTCCTGTAAGTACATCTCCCCCATATAGGTAACCTTTAAATTCTCAACTTTTTTAGAACTGCCGCAAAGGTCATCGATGATCTTAGGAACTACTGGATCGCCCCTGAATGTCTTTAAATTCATCCAAATCTTCATTTTTCTCAATAGAAAGAACTTTACCGAAAGTAGGTAACGGTCCTATCACGTGTAGAACACTAGAAAACTGATGAATGACAAACATAGAAGGCGATCGCCCTGTTTATACAACTGGTTTGAGTTAACTTGTTTCTCGCTCACAAAAAAGTGCGGATTCTAGATTCGGATTCTATCTCGATTAATAAAGCATATTCTGCACTGAGACATGTCATCTTGAACATTTAATTTGAAATCCGACATCAATTTTCGAAGAACCTAGTTGTTCGAGGGTTTTCTTTTAACCCACCGACGACGACGCCTAATTTTTCTTCATGTCGCATGGGACAATACTTAACTATTTGCCTTTACGGCCTTGCTGAATTTTTAATAATAAACAATTATTTTTCGATAATCAAAGGGCACCAGAGTTTGTGATGATAAGAACATTATAGGAAAGGCTCTAACCAAACATTCTATAGGTATGAATGATATGTACGATGCTATTTGTTATATGCTGCTTTATTACATGTCTTATCATGCAAACACATTTGTGTTGGTATTTCGAATGGTTTGGCAGCTCATCTTGACTCAATTCTGGTACTTTTGAACTTCTATGATTCTGCATTCTATGAAATAACCAGGATTTATCACAGAAAATCAAATAATATAACGATACTACTTGTCAACGAACGACTCCAAAAAAAAAATGGTTGATTTTATAGTACGTTGCTGGCATCAAGAGTGCCTCTTCTGGTATCATCCATCCATTGTTGACCCGTTTTCGATGAACTATCGAAACAATGTAGACGGTGTGGTGAAACAAAGGTTCTACAGCCCACTGAACTGAGAATGGAAACCATTCATTTATTTATACGTTCTGATCTCGCTGAGCCAATGCGAGGTTGGTATGGTTGTCGTTGTTCACAATATCAACTTATTATTCACTGCCTACTCTTTTCAAAGGTAGGGTATATCGCGAAATACGACTTCAATTATGCTGAGATATTTGCAAAACTCAGGACCGCTGGTGTCTGCGGTGGTGAACGAACGCGCAACTGTCCTTTCCCGGGAGTAACGCATTCACCACCACACCATGCGGGTCCTTCGTTTCACCTGTTTCTCAGCTAGTTCTATCGACTTCTGCCATCAGCAATCACTCGTTAGCGTTAACTACAGCCTTAGCTTAACTTAGTTCGTTCCCGATTTGGGCTCCCCAGATCAACCCTGCTAATGGGTGATTACTGATGGCAGAGATCGATAGAACTAGCTGTTTTTTTTGCGAATTTGTTAAGTTTTATCTGCTAGGGTTATGAAAGTGTTTGGCTGAGTAGATCGCATCTCAATTGGACCTTTTCAGGCTCTGAAGAAGGCGAAACTGCCGGAACGTCAGCTATTGTATCCTAATAAATTCTATAATAACAACCTCTTATTGTCTGCTTATTGAAGAAAAACATCGAAGTCGTCTTTGTTGTTGGTCGATGGCAGGTGTATTGGCGATTCCCCCTTTCTCATAGTCGTGCTCTCGCAACATGCAAGTTGCAGTGCATTGGTGATTCAGTGGAAAGATGCTCGCTTGCCACGCGATCGACCCTGGTTCGAATTCCGGGCGATGCACCACACGTGGTGAGGTTACCCTCCCATGAGGATGGAGAAACTAACAACGTGGTTTCCGTATAACCGTGGACGTCACCACAATTGGTGCATTAACCTGAATCAAACGCGGATGGCCAGTGTGGCAAACTAGCATCCTGCATTGGTTCTCCAACGTAGTTTAGTTCCACTCTTATCAGCATGACTCTGAGAAAAACGAAGTCGGCAGAACATCTGCTATCGAACAACAACGACAACTCAAACTAACCTCGCCGTAGCTCAACAAGATTAGTTCATCAGAACGTATGAATAGATATAAAAAAGGATAAAGCCGTCGGGCTTGATCAGTACCCGAGAGGTGCGCCATGAATTCGACTTCATTAAACATCGTTTGGAGATGACTGGATGCATCTGGGCATTACAATGACTTGCAGTAGCTCGCCGATGTATCTAGTCAGTGCTGCCATCGTCCCAGACAAGTCTGGCACCAATTTGCCGACCCCGGAGGGATAGAAGGCTTGGTGAGCCATGGGCGTGGAGATCGATTCCACGTGTGTGTTGCAGTGGCGCCTCCAACCACTGCGCCACACGAGCCATATGGATAAATATATTGATTATCTATTCCGGGTTTTATAGAAAGTCGGTGCTTTTAATGGACACCATAATTACATACGATCCGTTGTGGTTTAAAGTGCTTCAGACGTTCCTGTTGAGTCGACAATGTGAATGAGTCGGAATATGTAGAAGTACATGAAGACGTCCATCTTATATGTTCTTTAAATTCGTAAAATCTTTCAAAGTCCAATAAATGACGGATGGGATTTGAACTCTTGTAATAAACAATGAATTCTGAAACGGCTACACTTCGACAGTCTTCCAACCGATTTTTTTGGAAGCTTGTAAACACTTGGGCTGATAATTGCGAGGATGGGTTCATTTCCATATAAACAGATACGTAATCATTTACATAGCTATGCGATTCATCTTCAGATATCGTCTCAGCGCTGCAATCCATCGCCGATTGGATTATTATATGCATTGGGTTCCTGTGAGAGATGTGCTGGACATTCTCTTACCTTCAAGGCTTGTTACCCCTTGAATTCGAGACGACAAAAAATCGTGACAGAAACGGTTTTTCACGAGATGTGCTTTGATTTTGAGAAGAGTTAAAGCCATTTTCATCATGACTGGCTCTGCATGGCTTGAAGCTATGCTGTACGTAGTTTTTCCCGATTTTTGAAATCTTCTGCACCAGTCGAATGACTTAGTTTGTAAAGCACTTATTCTAGACTCAAACTTCATAGATTTTCACAAAATTATGAAAATTGTAGCACAGGAAGTGCAGCTATTTCGAGGAGAAGCTTTTCCTAGTAAAGAACTTCATGTTTTGCCTTCTGATTTTACTGCACATAATGTCAAGCCTTCAGCTGTACTTGTACTAATCACTATATTTGAAAACGTCGACTTACATCAGATAACAAAAGCAACAGCAGAATTTGTAAACAGTCGCTTCTTCTCGTTTATTTCTCCAATAGACCAGACCAGAGTAGTAGATTTATCCGGAACCTACACCTCAGTAGAACACATGCTCCGTCGCAATACACTTTATTGAAGGTCTCCGCCCAATGAGATTCTCTGCAATGGAGCATGTTTGCTGTTGAAAGATATGAATTTATATTACTATGTAGAATTACGTAAATCTGTCTATATGTACATATCAATATATATAATGAGTGGTTATAGATTGGCAAACTGTGTGATGTTCTATAATCTCACATTGTTAGTGCTGTTAAGAGAAATATATCATTGTAAAATCATACCGCAAAGTTGGCCGATCCTCTCTAGTCAATTGCCCACATATTCTTTATCTTTCATAGCTTCTAATTCATTTTTCCGAATGATCGACGCTTTCTTGTGGCTCACTCTAGTTATTCCTTTTTGTTTGTCAGCGATTAGATCCGTTGTTTGTCAACTAAAATTGATTTCTTTTCCGGATGCTGCATGAAGCCAGTGATTCTGGTGCATTGCAAACGAAAATCCGATGTTTACAAAGCATTTCGGGTGGATATTCTAACACAGAATCCTTCGATGGCGGAGGTGATGCGAAGCAGAGGTAATTGTGGTGTAAAATTCACCTGAAAAATGGAAAGAAATGTGCTGCAAAGTAGTACCAGTTCACTGTGATTGTTAGCACTACCACTATTTTTTGTTACTGTTACTTTCACTGCGTCCATTTTTTATTGGGAGAAATCTAAGATGAAGCGCTTCAGTATCATTAGTATATTCTTATGAGATAGGCGTTTTTAAAAGAGTTTAGGTTCACAAAGTCATCTATGTTCCACTTCGTGAGTAAGCGTGGATCTAATGTAGCTCTTTGCTATATTCCCAGGCATCGCATAATAAGTAAACAATAAGTGTTTTATTTACAATATATACTTTCTTTTCCTTCATATTAATTGAGTATCTATTGTTATAAGTTCTTCTAGCAGTACGCAAATCTGTAAAGGTCGATTTCGTTCATTGGGCCGTGGCCTATTGGAGAACAGGAACTCACGCCTGCTTTGTCCTCTTAAATTGTAAGCTTTGATCTGTTGTATTGACTTTAAGGTGTAATGTTTATTGACAACGGTTTACTGCCACGTCGTGGCTGGGAGATGTTCCTGGGTGTCAGGCTGCGATGTACAGTGGGGAGATTCGTACCCTCAGCAGGGTCTTCCAAGCTGAGGTGTCCGGCGTTTCCATCAGGAAAGCCACCTGAGAGTAAACCGCCACCAGGATCCGCCAATCTCTCTCTGGTCCACGAGTACCGCAACTGCCCGTGGTGGCGACGACGTAGGGCAGACTTTGGCTAGGCAGACCTCGGGGCTCCAAGGAACAACAGTGGCTAAGTCAGCAAAACCCCGAAAGAATGGAAGTTATGATGGGAACCACTCAGCCAGTGAAGACAGGCAATCCAAGTATCCAATTAAGTAATTTCTGCCTATTGGATACAGGAGAGGTTTTACTACAGAAAACCTTCAGTGATAATATGCAAACGTTTTCGTTATGCCAGAAAAGTATGACTGACATCGTTTGCTTCTCGTTGAAAATTTTAAAAGTGCCATGTTTATTTGCGTTAACTCCAGGCTTCTTCCCGTTTTCCCGCAAGTTCGCTATGTTAGCGAGAGGACGGTTGAAGTATTCACTGCAAATACAACTGGACGAATCGAAGTGTGTTTTTTTTCGTCGACTTTTTGATATCGTATCATCCTCACCTATTTTACCTATTTGCAGCTTCACAATATTTTACACCCAAATATGTCTCGGAAATTGTTGTACAAAGTTCAGTCATTGGACTTGACTGACGGTGAACCGCGTCATAGAGTTACCTCCAGAGATACAGTGGACCGCACACCGTTTTCCGTTCATGGTACTTTTAGTGGTGCCATCGGAATAGCCAAGTCGATTTGCACTCCTGAATTAAATAAGTAAGTGTAAAACTTCCGTCTGACTTTCGTTAAATTCTGTTTAGAGGTCAGTTACTTTCGTAATTTCTTTAAACGTCGTTTATCTCCACTGTAAACGCGGGGTTACGTGGTGCTTTACGAGGTGCTCGACATAAGGGTAACCATGAATAAGAAATAATCATGTTCTTGCTTTGAGACGCAGATTATTCCAGTGGATTAACTTTTTGCCGCACCTCTATGAATGTAGCCATATATTCATGCATACACGCGTTGATGTGTGCGCAGATTGTGTCATGTATGTCAATTTGACGGAAAACAGTCAAGTAAAATAAGTGGGAAATGCAGTAGAGGGAGTTTTGAATCATCTGGTAGAATATAGGCCCATCTTCTACTCGAAAAAAGCTTGACTCATTACCCATGAACATATCAATTACCCACAGCAAAGCGAGGTTCCAATGAAACGAACTAGGTGATGCTGTGCATGTCCTACAAGTGAGTGGATCCCATTTATAGCGATGAAGCGTGATAGATATCTTGCTGTTGCCTTTACCTGCCACTTGATTTTGAGCAGAACGAGGTCGTATATATATATATATATGTATATATATATATATATATATATATATATATATANGATCAACGCCGAGAGCTTCATCCTTTACTTTATCCCTTATATATATATATATATATATATATATATATATATATATATATATATATACATAAGGGATAAAGTAAAGGATGAAGCTCTCGGCGTTGATCAATTTCTGAGGGATGCATGATCCAAGCATTCGATTTTATTAAGCATCGTTGTAGGTTGTTGAATGCATATCTGGCCTTTACAATGATTCGCGGTGGCCCACCGTTGTATCGAGCAAATGGTGCGATCCTCTCAGACAAGTCTGGTACCAATTTGCCGAGCTCGGAGGGACGGAAGGCTTGGTGAGCCTGGCGCGTGGGGATCGATCCCATGTGTATTACAGGGCGCTTCCGACCACTGTGCTACACGTACTCCATATATATATATATATATATATACATATGTTTACGCCTACATATACACATGTAGTATATTGCAGTGTAGTTTTCAGAGTATCTGTACTCAAAATTTGGCAAGGAAAAGACCCAATTGTGGTATTGAGAGTTAACCAACTTGATAATGCATTGTTAGCTGTTACGAATTTTCAGTGAGTTCCTTTCACATCCATTTCCGGTGTTTCGATTTTCTCACCCTAAAGTGCTTTCGGTTAATTCTAGGTACCTGCCTGTAAGAAGCAGTTTGTTTGTATTGGATCTCATAAGTCAATGCAAATTAACTGTTGAACCTCGTCGCGTATTCAAGGCAACACATCCTCATATTTTGGATGTTTGTTGGCTTTGGTAAGTAGTGGCCAAGAATTTTACTGATTTGAAAGAATGTTTATCTTAGCCATATATCTTATTTATAGTATTTCGCTTAATATGATTGAGTTTCTCTCCGGTTGCCGTCGGTTACCACCTATATACCAAGATAACCTCTTTTCATCTGTATTGGAGATTCCTGCACTTCTCCCATTTGTTTCGTTATGTCGTAACCGTCATTCCTAGAGGTGATCTGGCTTGGGTATGGATTCCGATGTAATTTGAAGGTCTGTGAACTTCTGCCCTCATTGACATGTTTGTCGAGCATCATTCCCTAGGAACCGAAGATAGCCCTAATAGAGCGTTCTAAGGTCCTCATTGCAGGTAATTGCCTTCCGTTGTGGATCTGAGGGAAATTTGTTTCTTTATGATTCTTAGTTTTCTGGACGGTAATTATTCTTGTGACGGCTGCAAGTTCTGCGATAAACATACCGCTCGAGGGACTGCAACACCAAGTTATTTCCATTAACATAGAAAGATTTGGTCTAATTGGAAAATGAGTGTTGTAGTGCATGCAGTATATTTCTCTCATATCATACTTTTTTTAGGGATCATCCAGCGCGTCTTTTGCTATCTACGGTGGATAGTATAAGATTGTTTGACATTCGGTGTCCGAATAGGACGGAACAGGCTTTGTTTCTTAATCATAGTGTTACTCACATGGCAAGCAATAGGTACAGGTATGGTGTACTGTGTTCCATAAGTTTCCGTTTCCTTGTTTAGGAGCAATCTTGGTCAGTAGTCATTTTTAGAACCCATGTGTTTGCTGCGTTTAACGAAAATGAGATTCATATATATGATAGTAGGAAATTATTTGGACCAATCCAGCAAATCAAGGTTCCCATTGTAGGTATATGTTTCTAAAATTTCGTTGGTCTTCAGTTTTTCTTCCAGAGACTTGCTCTTTTAACCACGTATTTTCATATTCATTGCAATATTTTGTACATTTAGACCTTTGGATATATTAGCGTTATCTTACAACTTCTCTGTCCTCCCATATTTTGAGTTTTACTTGTGTTTCCACCAGAGGCAATAAACTGTAATTTTGGGTCTGTTTTTAGGACGGATGCAATATACTTAACTCTATGCGTTGGAATCCTTACATGCCTTACGAATTGTACTTACATTTTCGAGGCTCATCGAAGATACTACGTTGCAGTGCACCGGATCTTACGTTTGATCCGTTTCAAGTAGGCATTTGAACTTGTCCATTGGAGTAAAGGTAATATTAATATTCAGAATACAGTTGTCACATTCCTCCTAGCGATTTACGACCTCATCGTGGATGTTACTGGGGAGGTGTTCTTGGGTGCCGGACTGCCATGTACAATGGGGAGATTCGTCCCCCGGTAGGGTCTCCCACGCAGAGAAGGAGTCCGGCGTGTCTATCAGGAAGCCTAACTAAGGGTGAATCATTACCAGGATCCACCACGGTCCTAGTATCAAATAAGTGGCATTGTGGCAAATCTCGCTCTAATCCGGAAGGTCGGCGAGTATCTGTGGTGGTGACGACCTCGGCCAAACATTGGCTGCGCTGACCTCGGGACTCCAGTCAACCACAATGGCTAAACCAGCAAAACTCTGAAAAGTGGAAACTGTGCTGGGACCCGCACAACTAATGAGGAAGGGCAATCCTAGTATCCAAGTAGGTTGTCATATTTCGGCGTTGATTTTGTGTTGTGAAAAAGCACTGTGTCTTAATAAATTGTTTCTAAGAATGAGTTCAAAAAAATTCCATTCGTTCTCCCTCATTTTTGTTTTCACATTTTTAGAGAAGGACTTGCGATAGCTTTACATCAGAAGAAATTTTTTCCATGGAACAGATATGGGATAGCAGTTTATCGGCTGATTCTATAGACTTGCGATTGACAACGTAATTTTTGGGTCGTTTTCTTTTTAATATTTGTCCCATTTTAATTCTTTTCTCTACGACCCTTTTTTTCCTTGGGGTTTTAAATAATAGTGTTGTTCTGTCGAAGCAAATGTTTTCTTCTTGCTTTAGGTATAAAAGCTTGGTTGGTGCTTATACACTTGAAAGTTATGGAGAAATGTTTGATAAGTGCAAAGAAGACCCTGAGTCTCCGATGCCATTATGTTGGATGGCGCCGATGGCGGAACATGTGGTTAATAAGGAAAAAGACAGCAATTCAATGGATACGGTGAGTGGATTCTAAAGATATGACTGCTTTTGTTGTCTACGGGCAAATGCGCTAGATTACTTACCTAGCCAACATAAATTGGACTAATATATTTATTTTCTCACAGGTTTGTCGTGAAGAGTTTAAATCTTTGCGAAGAAGATGCAAAACTGTTTCCGAAAACTTAAGTGTATTATCGCCACACCCACGAATTCGCTGTCGCGTTTGTTCGGATTCGTGTCTGAATGACAAATTTCCAGAGTTTGTTAATTTTTTAGCTAAACTGTGTTAATGTAACTCCTATATTTTCGTTACTTTCCAGGATTACTGCAAATCTAATGCGGCAGTATTCATATGTTCACGTTCCATGTTCTCTGAGTCACACACCTAAGAAATCTTTTCAGAGGTTGGTGTTTTAATGCATTAGCTTTCCAATTAGGCATTGTACTTTTTTGCGAGAACAAAGTATTATGTATTATTTCTCTGTTCTCGAAAAGAAAGCGAATTATGATCGAAGCTGTGATTACTGAGTTATATGCAATAATACTGGAATAGTTAATAAAAATGGGGCGTGTGTAGCGCAGTGGTCGGAGACGCCCTGCAACACACACGTACCGATCCCCAAGCCAATGATCCACCAAGCCTTCCTTCCTTCCGGGGTCGGCAAATTGGTACTAGGCTTGTCTGGGAGGGTAGCACCACTTACTCGATGAATCGGTGGGCCAACGCGATTCATTGTAAAGGCCAGACATTGCGTGCTTCGTTTTTCATCGGAAATTTAGTTTAAAAAGTTGATTAGAAAGAAAAGTTTAGAAAATTAGACATGGGATCCTATTTCAGTTGATTTCAATTCGTAGGTAGGAGAGGCGCACAGTGGCGGGTATGGATTCATTCCAACCTATACGTAGCGAAAATGTTTGCCTTTATCAGCGTTAGGTAAACATATCTCAGCTCATCTTCAACTTTATTAGTTGAGATAAGACCCTATATCCCCAAATTACTGCCAACGAAGTAGAACATTTTACAGTGAGATTTTTTTTTCAGAATAAAGGTTTTTTCTTTATTTTTTTCCACTTTGAGGCTCGTATTTCGCATATCGAAGCAATTGGAAAAAAGGCGATGTCGTTCAGCAAAATTTGGTGTTTTTTTGCCGAAGTTTGAGGATCACGCACTAAGAGACTGTCAACAATTTAATTTCTTTTTAGATTTTTTGATAGTTTAAGTTGTTATAGGTTCAAAGTTTGTATATTGTTGTATGACAACTGTGCATCTCTGTTATAATAGAGCAGAGTGTCTTCTTATAGGTACAAAATATCATGTTCTCTAGTTATCGATAAATACATGAGAGTTGAAGGAAAGCAGGCGTGATCTCCTCGATCACTGATGAATATTAAGCATAGAGTCGTATGTGTTAATTTTTAATAGACATCAAAGTGGAAATATGAACTACTTTTATGTTTCGCCTTCCTTTAAGATAGTTGAATAACTCGACTAATTCAAATCGCTTTAGATTTCTGACTTCCCCTATTAAGTCATCGTTAAAGCTCTTGAACAGATTGTTATATGAGCATCCAAAGTCAATATTGAATGGGCGCCGGTGGAAAAGCGAAGACAACTTGAAGAAGGAGGTACTGATCTGATCAGAATATTTCGTCGTGTATATAATAATTTGTTAATACACCATTTGTGAAGCACCTTCGGTAATTCTTCTCGTACATTCTGATGCAGTAAGTTAGTTGTTTTACAGAACGATGTAATAAGTCACTGTCCCGTTACTGCAAGAAAGCAGTGGAGAACATGGAGCTTATCCTCATTGGAAAATTCTCCGTGCGCGAATTGTCTCTGCGACGACCAGGTTTTAAATATGTTTATTTTAATTTAACATGTAACACCCAAAACACTTATAGTGTAGTGGAGGACACTGATCTGCCACTTATTTGACTTAGCAGTCCTTCCAGATCTGTGCTGTGCTATGCAGCAGAAACCTAGTGCTTCAGCACCAAAGGAATTGCTTGCACTACAACGAGCGCTGTACCGGAGAGAGAGAGAGAGAGGGATAAATAGAGATGGAAAGTGAGAAAGACTGAGTGTGTGTAAGAGAGGTAGGAGGGGGGTGGCACTGCAAGTCCATGTGTACTGGGTTCAATGCATCGATGCATATCGAACGAGAGGAACCAATTAGGTCCAAACACGAACAGTCGCCAGTGAGTTGGGCGTGGTCTTTCTTGGAAATGATAACATAGATAGCAAACTGAACTATCATGCATGACGATGTACTTTCTGACTTTATTCGACAGAAATGTTAAGCAGTTGTCGTTCTTTGCCAGTTGATTGGATTTCGACTCATAATCGTTGTAGAATTCACACAAAAGAATTTTCTATGGGGTAGTTGTTTGGGCTTTCCGCGCCTTTAAATATTGAATTCGATCCTATACGAAAAGCTGTAGTGTGTATTAGGGAGACTCTAGTGTGTTTTTCAAATTACTAGTAACATCATTTGTTACAGATTTTCGTTCCTAGATGCACTGTGGATACAACAAGGCAGCAACCTATTCTAGAAAAAGAGGGAACCTATAAGTGCTCACTTTGTATGGAGACTAGGTACTCTACAGCTATGTTCGATGGCGGTGTAAATAAAATTGGAGAAGTTAAGGCTCGAGAAAGAGTTTGAAAACATCAGTGAGAAGCATAAGGATAGACTGTCATTTGTATTCCGGCAGCTTGGACTAGATCAAAACAATTTGAACCAGTTGTGCGAATTGCAGAAGCATGTGGAACTCGCTACAAATGATGGTATTTCAAAATCTTTTCGCCTAATAGGTTTTTAGACCATATTTTTGAAATTTCAGACATGGTTAGGTCGCTGCTTTTTGCTTCTGTTTATCCTACTGGTGTTGGCAATGGAATGAGAGGAAACAAGGAAGATAATGAACACCGAATACAAGTTAGTTATTATTTCATATACATACATGCATAGGTACGATCATATGCTTAGAAACGTATTTGTGTACGTACTTATGTATAATGTCGTCTATTTCGAGTGCATGTTGTTTTTGTTCGGGGTTTTTGCACGGAATTCTGTTTTCTTTGGTTGGATGTATTCTTCTAGGTATTTTGGCATCTCCAAATTTTGCTTGTCGTCCTACCCATGCTTAGCTAAAGCACTATTGATTTATTAATTTGCACTGTGTATTGCCACGCACGTTCCTTATATGAGGGATTTCGATCCGGTTCGTCGCGAGGCTACGTGGAACGTCCTAAGGTGGCGGATAGGGGTTAATCGCGGACCAAAAGCGACCGTATGTTTCCCTGAAACGCAGATAGATCCAGGGATGGACGCTCTCTTTCTGCTCCGCCGATTTGGCTCATACTTTTTGTATTTACAAGATGTATCCATGCATGCGTGTGTGGGTCGTTCTAGTTTATGCGGAATTCTACGAGTCAATTTGGCCAAAAGCCTGCATTCAACTGGCAGGGAAATATATGAGAGACGGTTAGGAGTCACCTCCAATAAATAAGCTCTATGTCTGCTCTGGGAGAGACTGGCAAGCTACCCGTGATTATACACAGCCCCCACGTTCAAAGCCCAGCAAGCTATACGCGGGTATCAAAAATGCTAAGCACATTTTAAAAAAACGGGCCTCATTCCCCTGACTCCGAAAGAGCCCCTAGTTTCGCAGCGTTGGTAGGACGAGTACGGAGAGGCTGCTGAAATCTCAGGGCCAATGGAAGCTGCCTGGATTTCAAAGAACTAAGGTGACGATCTATACCTACAATGCACGTACACCTGCATCCAAGTCCTCGATAGAAGACTTGCTTATGCAAGCAAGAAGGTTAAGGTACGACGTCATCGGCTTGGCCGAGATGAGAAGACGCCAGCCTTTCAACGCCGTCTATGAGACCGGAGAAGAACTGTTGCTCGGAATATGCGACAGCAGAGGAATATGCGTTCTCGTTAACACGATTTTCTTCATGAACATCGCTTCATTCGAGCAATTTACAACCCGGATCGGACGTTTACGATTAAGAAGACGTGGATCAATTCCGGTTTTAACAGTTTTCTTCGTTCACGCGCCGACATCAAACTATGACGAAGAAGAAGTCGAAGCGTTCTATATGGACTTGCAGAAGTTCTACAGAGAAGACCACACACTTTTCAAGGTCATTATTGGAGATTTCAACGCCAAGAATGGACCAAGAAGAACGTCTGAAGAACGTCACATTATGACCCATGGACTGGAGTGGAACGAACAGGGTGAACGGCTGTCTGAGTTTATCATGAAAATCAAGACCATCCATGGTAACTCGCAATCCCAGAAACCCCACCCTCAGTGCTGGACGTAGGAGTCTTCTAATGGAGTGTATCATAACAAAATAGACCACATCGTAGTAAATAGAAAGTCCCCTTATCCGAGGTCAATGTTGTCACAAAATTCATAAACGAAGACCGCACATTCTTCAGCGTCATCACAGGGGATTTTAACGCCAAAATTAAGCCAAGAAGACATCACGAACAGTGTGAGCGACTCTCCGAATTTATCATAACAACTAAGAGCATCCATGGTAACTCGCAATGACGAAGTAGACTACATTATAGTAAACCGAAGGTTTTGCCTAGCCGATGCCGCTGTTGTCCTAATATTCTACACGGGATCAGACTACCACCTCCTTCGTGCAAGATTCCGTTTCTCGGAAAAAGGAGAAAAACCGCTAAATTAAAAAAACGAAGTCCCAAAACCACTATGAATTGGGACATATTCAACTCATTAGTCGGCTGTTGGGAAGATGCTGTTGTCCATAACATCGACGAGTACGATCGGTTTATTTAACACCTTCACGTTAGCGCTATGAAAGGTCAGAGTTCGAAACTCACCAAGAGACTTCTCTTTCGAGAAACACTCGAGGTGATACTCCAGTGTGGAATCGTACGAACTGCAACCAACCGCGAACTAACGTCCGTACTTGCAAAACAATGCAGACAGGTGATAAAAGAAGATCTTAAAGAGAGAAGAGCAGCAGTAATGGTTGAAGCTGCAGAGGCTGGGAAAAACATTCGGAAAGCCCACCGAGGCTTCGCCAATTACAGGATCAATATGACTGCTCTCCGGCGCCCAGACGGGACAGTTACAGCGTCCAGAAAGGCAATGGAGAAAATCATTCATGAATACTGCTCGGATCTCTTCGATGACCACGTACATCTTCCGTCATATGAAGTAAAGGAGGATGGTTATGTTGTACCACCGGTTCTCCGTTCCCAAATCCGACATACCATTTCGTCGGTAAAAATTCGAACAACACCAAGTCCGGACAGGATAAGACCAGAACACCTGAATAACCTTCTGTCAGTCCTCGTAAACACACTTGCTCGACTCTTCACACGTTACCTGGCTGAATGCAGGGTTCCTACTCAGTGGAAGACCAGCGAGACCGTGCTATTGTTCAAGAAGGGTGACCTGCACGTTATCGGCAACTATCGCTCAATCTGTCTACTGTCTGTCGTTTACAAACTTTTCACTCGAACCATCCTAAACAGGATTGACAGAACATTAGACCAAGGACAGCCATGTGAGCAAGCAGGGTTTCGAAGAAGATTTAGTACGATGGACCATATCCACAGGATAACAACACTCATTGAGGTATCGCAAAAGTATGGAAGACCGCTGTGTATGATTTTCATCGATTTACAGAAGGCCTTTGACTCAATGGAGATAGCAGTCATGGAAGCCCTTGTTAGTCACGGAGTTCCTACCCACTACATGAAGATTCTTTGTGAGTTGAAAAAAAATTTAACAACCAAACTATCGCCATTCTACAACGATATTAACATCGGCGTCAGAAGAGGAGTTCGGGAGGTGGTGCCATCTTGTCAAAATTATTTACCGCCACCCTCGAGAACGTCATGCGAGCATTGGAATGGAATAATATGGGAGTGAAAATCGATGGTCGGGAATTACACCATCTTCGCTTTGCTGATGACATCGTCCTTATAACACTAAACATTAGCCAAACCGAACAAATGCTGGCCGACTTCGTTATAGCCTGTGGAATGATTTGTCTTCGAGTAAATCTCACAAAACGATGTTCATGAAGAACGGATTGATTTCGCGTGCACCATTCACTCTCAGCGGAACGAATCTCTCCGAATGCGCCAATTATATCTATCTAAGTCGGGAAATCAATATGATGAAACTCAGCTCCAGAGTTGAGCCGAAGGAAACGAGCGGCTTTGGAGCTTTCAAGAGCATCGAAGAACTAATGAGAAGAACAAGGAACTGCCGACTCCATGTCCACATTTTCTACTCAACAGTACCTCCTGCCTTAAAGTATGGGTCAGAAACTTGGTCGCTGTGTAAAAGAATGGAAGAGCATTATGCGTTAACGAACGCGCAATCGAAAGGACCATGCTAGGAGTATCCCGTTCCACACAAGTAAGGGATGGGATCCGAAGCTCCGATCTGCTTCAACGATCAAAAATCAATGGTGCCGTTCTGTACACCAAACAGTCGAAAATAATGTGGCCCGAACACGTAATGCATATGAACAACAACCGGTGGACAAGACCCGTTAGTGACTGGATTCCTCGGGATGTTAAACGCACTGCAGGAAGACCACCGACGTCATGGTCAGAGTTCTTCACGAAAGGTTTAGAAAAAACATACGATACTCGACGAGCTCCTAGGGCGTGCAGAACCCACTGGGCTACTCTCGCACGCGACAAAAGAAATGGAAGGTTTACTGGCGCCCGCTCGAGTCACTCGACAATCACTCGACAATCAACGCGGTTACAGTTGACAAATGACAAGTGTCGTCTTGTTTCGAGTTTTCTCACTTACCTGTTCAAGCAGTATACGCCACCCTGCTCGTTTTTATGCTTTTAAATCTCGTTTGCTCTATGTATGCTTTACGTAAAACTACTACAATAGTTGCTGGCGATCTACACATTTCACATATCCTATCTACAGAATTGGGTGCATGCGGCCCGTGGTTCAGTGGTTGGATGCGCTCTCCAACACACATGGGATCGATTTCCGCGTTTATGACCCACCAACCGTTCTATCTCTCCGAGGTCGGCAAATTGGTACCAGACCTACGTGGGAGGATAGCAACACTGGGTCAATACATCGGTAGGCTACCGGGAGTTATTGTAAAGGCCAGATATGCATCCAGTCACCTATAACGACACTTAAGGAGGTGGGATGCATGGCTGATGAATGCGGAGAGCTTTATCCTTTATCCTTTTATCCACACAATGGACATTATGTTGTCGCAGAAAGTCAGTGGAAATCCGCTATTGGCAAGCCATTTAATTGGTAGCTGAATGATTTTTTAGCAGTGAGATAGGGAAAAGCGTTAGTCTTTGTACGACTTTGAATATATAAGTCTATTGAATTCTCTGTTTTATCAATTTGTTTTCGTTTTCTTTGGCCTTGTCAGTGGCTTCCATTGCTTTCGCAAACCTTGGGAATTTTCGAAGCTTCTTCAACGGCAATGTGGTTAATAATTTCATTTAACTCACAGTGCACGATTGGTAGTTGAACCCGATGTATCTGTACTGCTCAGTTTAATAATGCGCTTAAACGTCATGCAGATTTTTCTCTGTGAGAGATTTATACTGATAAAGGATAATGCTCTCGGCGTTGATCAATCACTGAGGGATGTGTCATGCATTCGGCTTCATTAATTTTGGAGGTTATTGAATGCATCTCTGGCCTTTACAATGACTCACGGTAGCCTCCCGTTGTATTCAGCCAGTGTTGTTATCCTCCCAGACAAGTCTGGTGCCAATTTGCCGACCCCGGAGGAATGGAGAGCTTGGTGGTCCAATGAGGCGGAAATCGATGCCATGTGTATCACAGTGCGCCTCCGACCACTGCGCCACACACACCGTGCTGATATATCATTCAAATAAACATGTTGTTGTGATCACAGTTGATGGAATCCAGGCTACCTTTTTGCTTCTAGAAGTGGATAAAATTTACTAAGTGAAATTTCCAAATGATATGGGTACCTTGGTTTGATATTGGATACATTTTGGTATCAATATTAAGAATATGGGGAACTGCACACTGGTATTGCGTTCAAATCGTTAATCACAATTTATAGCTTTTCTTAGATTCTTGTAGAACATCTTAATTTTGTTCGTTGTCCAGTTCGCTATCACATGTTGCTAAACGTGTATCTGAATCTCTTAATTTTACTATCTTACTTTCGTCATTTATAATTGCCATTGAAGAAATTCGGCCCAGTGGAATTCAGAATACAAATTTTGTGCATTCACACTACCTGGGTAGTATGAAGAATTTGTTTTTAATAACGTCACATTTTAGCTTCCTTACAATATAACATCATTTGATTTTGCACCGGTCGGATACAGTGGAGTACTCTGCCTCATGGAAGGAACGGCTACCCATCCAAAATTGGTTTTTGCTCCAGTACGTGTTTGAAAATTGTTTTTTTTGGCTTATATCTGAAGAAATACATCTGAGTTGTTGTTCGTATAACAAACTATTACTGAGAAATTATCTCAATGGTACATTTGAAAATTGTTTTTGCGCCCGAGTTTGATATCATTACTTGAGTCACAGTCATTTACAACATACTTAGGAGGCCTCCTTTCCGTAAACTGTCATTTTACTAGAATTGTGCTTATAGTTTATCGCACCTGATGAAGGATCTGCAGTTAGTTTTGAATATGCCAAAGTCTTGGAAAAAATTCGAGTGTTGGAGTCGTCTGACGTATGTATTCTGTTCATAGTTATTTTCTTCCATTTTATAAGACTATCAAAGTTCAGTATACGAGATGAACATATATACTAGCATCTTATTTTTAGTCTATTCCTTTCCATCTTTATCAGACGATGAAATTGCGTTTGTACAATGGTATGGACAAAATTGACAATGACACTCCTTTACTATGTAAGCTTTCTTGGAAAAAAAACACCTTAAAGTTTTGTGAATTTAAGTACGCAGACCGTGTAATCTCTCATTGATTTTTTATTTAAGCAATACTAAAAAGTATGGCAGATCAGATCCCAAAAAATTGGACACAATGGTTGTTGAGCTCTGCACGAATCCAGAATGGCTGTTGTGGTATGTTTAACTATTGTATCCAACTTATGCTTTAAGTTAATCATTGTTTCACATTCTAGTGCATGGTTTTCATTTTGATTTTAGGCACGGCTTCTTATTTTTGCTTCCACTGATGAAGCAGTCTAAATTATTTAGGAGTAATGTTGCAAAGTATTACCCTTCTTAGGTGGTACGTGTGGCGGAATTGTGTATTGGAGTGTTAACTTTATTCTATGACGTTTTTATTGCACTATTATAGCTGTTGTGAGAACCTTTAGAGTAGATGAATATAACAAGGTAGATGAATAACAAACGTTGCATGCTATGTTTGTTAGTTTGTGTGTGTGTGTGTGTGTGTGTGTGTGTGTGTGTGTGTGTGTGTGTGTGTATGTATGTATGTATGTATGTATGTATAGCTCGCAGTTTTATGGGTAATTAAAGTGTTCACATACATAATATTTACAGGTTAGTCACATAGTGAATTCAGTGACGTATATAAAGCAAATTAAAAAGCCAATTGTTGCAGAGAGCAGTAGTAGTGTGAATAAGAAATTCCACTAACATTGATGTAGAGCATTACACAACAAGTTATGACAGTATGAAAGGGTATATAGAAATATTTTTTGTGTGATAATATTGGTTCAACTACAAAAGTATGAGTATTTTCGTGGTCACTATGCGAGAAAGACACAACGATAAACGGGTTTCCCTAGCAAAGTGGAGGAAGATTCTGCGGAGTGAGAACTATCGAGCAGGATAATTCTTACATCACACAAGTACATTCAAAGATATCCATGGATTTGTGCACAGCAGGGTTATAGACAGATAGATTGATATGGCAATGGTGACTTTTGTAGAGTACTTATAGAGAGTGAAGGTATTCGATAGTTGCTAGATTAACAACGCATATTAATTAAATATCAACTGACAGTAACTTTTGTATGTCAATAATGCAAGAGCATGAGATTTTAGTAAAAAGTAGACATTATTCTAGCCTAAGCAAGTCGAAGAAGAGGTGAGCGAAGTAGATTAATCGGAAGAGGGAAGTGATGGAAAAAGGTCAGCGCTGATCTTCACGTGTCGTCTGAAGGCGAATTGCACTGCTATGAAACATGACTTATATCCAAGCGAATGGCAAAGTTTACAAGATCAAGTTACCAAGCGATGCTACCGTTTCGTTGGGGTGCCCTATGCTTAAGCAGTATCAGTGTAGGACAGGCATGCGGATTTTGGATTAAGTAACTGGTTAGTGTTGAGAGAAGTGTGTACTAAATGCACGATATTGACGCCAAAGTAGAGACTATTCTTTTCAGTGTAGAGAATAACTTCGATACATTCATGATATTATCAAGCCACACTCGACTCTTTCAAACAACCGTACTTTTATAGAAGGAAATGATGTCAGCGATAGCGTCGAAATGGTTGCTGACGACGATGATATATTGATACCTGAGAAGAGTGCAACAAGATGTGAAGAACATTGTCATCTACTATCAGTAAACGTGAAAGGGTAATATTTATTAATCATTCATTTGTATTGCGTAAATAATTTTTTTGTAGTTTACCGGGTATTCTACAGCTAAGTACGTTGGAATCTGAATCGGACGTTGTTTGGCACAATTGTGATTCGAATCATTTCACATATATCAAGGTATCAGTCTACTCAATAGCATTGGACTATTTGAAGCATTTTCTCTTTCGTAAAAGCAGTTAAAGGAAACGTTGCAGTATTGCTAACATGACGGTATTCAAGTTCTGTCTTTCTTAAGCTTGTCATACGTTTTCCACTACACTGCCATCCATTCCACGAATTTTTTTTGCGTTCAGTAATTGTTGAAACATGAAACAGGTGGTATTTCCTGTGGAATTCTGTGACTATAGTTGGACGAGTGTAATGCAGATGCTTTGCTGAAGATGCCGCATGGTTGTCGGTGCTGTTCCGCACTTTGGGCCAAGCAAATATCCTATCCCTTCGATGTTAGGAAATCGGTATCAGATTTGTCCTGCAGGATAAATATATTGGTTTTATACATCGGAGAGTACCTCAAAGTCATTATACAGGCCAGCTATGCGTTCTGTCATCTTATGCTTAACAGAGTCAAAAGAAGAGCAAATGATCGGATCTGCACAGTAGCTGTGATAACGGGTCGTGTAGAATGAAAAAAATAAGGAATAACGCAGTAGTTTAACAGCTTACCTTTTATCTTTCTTAGAAGAACCTTAACACAATATGAATCTATGTAGCAATTTACAAACCTGTTAAAAATATTTTCCTAACGCCCTGTCTTTCAAGTCTACTTTGCGGGTCTCAGCGCTTCTCACATTCGACTCGTTTCCTCGCAACCATCATCCATGAAGGTCTTCCAGATTTCTACGTGTAGGTTCGGCTGCTAGTTGTAGTTTTTGCAATCGTTATGATTATCGTTGAATGCTAGTCGATTCAATTTTCCCTCGAGTCGTGAGATAGCTGAGACTGTTCCTCTACAAAACCAGTGTTGTACCAGTACAAAACCAAACCAAGCTTGAGCTTATCTTTAAACAATTTGGGCTAAAGCAGCTCTTCTGGCACTGGAAGCAAGTACTTCAGCAAGCCTGTCGACTGATTAGAAAGAATACAGCAACGATGCTCTCTGTGGACAAAGAAATCTTCGGAAAGAAAACCAATTAAAATCAAGTTTTACTGGAAACTTTATACCGCACATATGCACCGATGTCAACTCACATCGTCACGAATATGTGAATAAGTTTGGAGAATAGCTTTTCGTGGGTCTTGTTTAGCAGAATAGTTTCGTTTGATAAGTTATCAGTGGTCTACATAAATCTTACCGAAAACTTCGGCCATCAAAATAAACAGCAAGAGAGAATACGCTAGTGTGGATGGGTCACTGCCCCCACGTATATATTTATGTTAATGCAAGTGATATATGTGCTAAATTATCATGTACGCTGTTATGCATATCAGTTGAGTCTTTTGCATTGAGCTCACAATATTTCATAATTCGTTATAGTTTTAATCCGAAGATGCAGTAACTGTTTTCTTTCTTGCATTTTCACCATGGTTTATATGAAGTAACTTTTGGTACGCAAATATTCCAAAACTGTGCGACGTTTGTTGAAGTGGAACATTCTAAACAGTAACTGGGTCCTGCAGGGTTAAAATTAGGCCACGAATAAGTCATAAGATCAAAGAAACCTTACCTGTGAAAATATTGCTGTTACACTGTATTACACTTAAGATTTATATAATTATTTACGTGTTCGGTTGTTGTTATTACCAACAAGATGTTTTCTTGTAGTAACGTTCTGAACGTTATACTATTTATCAAAGATTGCTCGATCGCCGATTCGACGATTGATATTAACACCATTTCGTCTACCGATAGATGAAGAACGGGTAGTATCCGATGAGCGATTTGCAGCCAGCACAGATGTGTTGAAGCAAATGCCGGTGATATTCCTTTGCCTTATCAATGGTGATTCGATGCGATTCATTGAGGTGATAGACTTTTTAAATGGAGTTGGTCTCTTTGCACGGTTAAGTTTTTTTTTCAGTATACCTTATTTATCCGACGTAAATTGGGTAAGCCAGTGTTCACAGATAGTCCGTGTTCGTTCTTGAACGCGTTCTATTTTTTCAGCACTGTCGTTTACAGGTATCTAAATTAAGATTTATGTGGCACTTTCAACTCGATATAACAACTATTTCAGATATGTAAATAAAATTTCGGGGGCAGCTAACAAGTCCTCTCCAAAATACGTTGCTCGTCGCCTTCGTTTGGTCGACAAAATCTATGCCTTCATAAAACAACAAGGCGGTATGTTTTATGTACTTAGTACTCACTTCCTTGATGGTGGATTGCCAACTGTAATTCATTTCACAGTGTTTTTCCGTATGAAAGGTCCTAAAACACGGAAAGCCTGTTTTGTACACTCTATTTCATGCCTCAAATATACTTATGCCATTATTAGGCCATAGGATTAAAACAGATGTTTTGGCGTTACAATCTGAAATTTGGTGATAGACTAATCTGCGTCTAATGTTCTCTGTTATGTTTTTTTTTAACTATACCGCATGTTTTTCATTTACAGGCTGCAAGTTGTGATTTTTCATGAGATCTATTCAATACCAGTGGTTTTTTTCAGGCTCTTCCTCATTGAATCCATTCGTAATTCCTATGTTGCTATTTTTACATGGAGAGATGACTTATACACATCCTGAAACGTTTACGAGAACTGTTCTGGAGAACGAGGTGCATATCTTATCGAGATATTCTTCAGAATCCTACAAACATCTCTGTCATGCTGCGGTGATTGTTCTTTCAGAGAATGCCACTGAGTTTTCGAATTGCATGGTGTCTTAATCTGCTGTCTTCGGCGAAGATGAAAGAAGCCTTGCACTTTTTGTTCCAACAGGTAGCACTTGTTCTGCATGCTTTTTTTTTTGTTCCACCATTTAAAGTGTCTTTGAGTTAACAAAGCGATGATAATTTGTTGTTTCTCCAGAGTTCAGGCATAAATCGCTTGCAATTTGTTGGTCTTGGCCGACATCCAGACTCATTAACCGTTCTATCCGAGTTCGTTTTTACTTTTAACATGTTTTATGACACATTTGTTTTATTTCGCGATAACTGTAGGTGTTAATACTATAGCTACTTGTAGTCTGGCGCAATTTCTGAGCTCTGTCCTCCTTCCTTTAAATCATTCAGTGTTTTGCTTTAATGTAATCTTCAAGAGTTCTATTCATTCCATAGTGTGTTACCATTTCTAGGCATTTGTACGTTACTCAGGATTGTCAAGTGTTCTCACATTTATTAGTTGCTGGCCGTTGTTTTGAAGAAGACGACGTCGTTCCCGAATTGGTCAGTATCAATCAGAAGTTTCATAGGAAATTAAATGTTCTCAGTTCAGGCTGATTTGGAGGGTTGCTCAGTGCTAAATGTTTGTGAACGTAGTGTCAAAGATAAACATGCAGTCAGTGTTCCGTCTTTGGTTACCATGTTCCCTACCAGTTATCTTCACGCAAGCAATGATATGTGCGTTTTTTTTCTTTTTTTATTTGTTTTCAATCTTAAAAAGCAATTTGAGGTGCGATTTGCTGCATCTTGCTCGTGCAGAGCTCTATCGCTATTCCTTCATACTGCAACGAATGGAAAAATATTGCTTTCGACGGAAGCTTTTAAACCTTATACCACAAATTTATTGGCCAGATTTCAAGACATCGGTAAAGCGAACGTTTTATTACAATTCAATTGGAGTTGACGCCTCAGTTGCAGTTAAAGTTTTTTTAAACCATGCATTTGTCCTAAATATGGAGATTTGATAGCATGAAAGTTTTGGAACATATTGCATAAATTTAATGTTTTTACATTGCTGACTAACTTTTTAAAACCGCCTTCCAAACTTGAATAAGAGTAATCAATGATTTTCTATATTATTGAGAGCTGACACGTGTTTGGTATAAAAAGTTTTTATTCGGCCGACGTTTCAGCGCCCTCGCCTTCCTCAGAGTCGCGTTGATCTGAGTCGATGGTCCCGAGGTGGCCATTGTCGCAATGTGGGCGTTCACGTTCACTGTCACATCGAGTCAAATCCAGTACTGGGAGCACCGCTTAAGTGGAGAAATTCGCTCAGCAATGCCCCCTAATGCAGGACGGATGTTAGTCGTTGCTCGGCAAAAAGCAGATCATCTTGGATGGCAGTTTACTAACATCCGTTCTGTGTTAAAGGGCACCGCTAAACGAAATTCACCATTCGACCGGTGCTCCCTCTACTAGATTCGATTCAATGCTACTACGAACGCCCACTTGGCTTCAACGACCAGCTTGGAACCATCGGCTCGAATGAACACGGTTCTGATAAAGGCGAAGTCGCCAAAATGTCGGCTGAATAAAAGTTTTTATACGAACCTCGTGTCGCCTCAACCGTATAGAAAATTGGTGTCTAACTTTTATTAAAATTGTTATGGATGCAAAGTTTCATTCCAATGAGATAAAGGATTTGTCTCTATTAATCGGGCTTATCAAGAGGTTTTCACTCCTTCAGAAAGCTTTTCGACATGCAGTTTATAATCACCAACGTAGTAGTGGAGTCATCGTTTAATGTCATGGCTGGTCCAAAGTTAGCATTATGTTTTGATGTGCCCGTTCTAACCTGGAAGTTTGTGGATAATCACTTATTCGTCAGTGGAATTTTCATATTTGCAGGTTGATATCTCATGTACATTTTGTGGTTCGAGTTATGAGGTAGCATTACGCAACACAGAGTCAGTGATATCTGATCACCTCTCTCAAGTGAAATCTCGGATTAGTGTGAACAAAACAGTCGGCAGTCGTCCTTCAATCTCTATGACAAGCACTTCTAAATCACTGTCTTCGTCATTAATAGCGGCTTCGCCGGATTCGGATACAAGTGCATCTGTGTCAGCTACGTCGGCAGCAGAATCCCACTTATGGGACTACAACGGTGTTGATGGCGGAACTGAAGCAGAGGTACGTGTACGTAAGGGCATGCCTTCCAGATTTTATTACGTTGTCATGAGGTGGTTGTTGAAAACAATTCTAGCTCTCCGTGTTTGTTTTTGCAATCTAGTCCCATTTCTAAATTTCTTGACTTCATTTTAATTTTCGCACATCTGTCTTTCCTTATACTTTTTTGCTGGTTAGAGATCATGACCAAAATAAAAAAACCTGAGTATGAAAGTAATATTTGGTGAGCTGTTTTATTGTAATACAATTTAGATCAAACGTCCTCCAGACAGTGCTTGCCCTCAGTGCCGGAAATCCTACCCTCGTTGTTGTCTTTGCGGATTGTCGTACGGTACACCTGTGAATGACTACGACCATCCAGCAGGACCATTTGCAATGATGTTCTCCACCTGTTTGGTGCGTTTCTTTCTTTTAGTTCCCTTATCTTCTCTATTTCTGGTTCATTTGCCCATTTTATTGCTGCACTGCGGTTCTTATTGATTTAGAGAGAATATTTGCGAACGCAAAGACTTCCTTCTTGTGTCTTATTCGGTTTCGGTAGCATTAGAACAGTAGTTGTAAGCGTAAAAAAAGTTTTTAGGCGTAAAAAGATTTGTCGAAAATGATTCGGTGTTTTTAGAACTGCTGACCTTGATGGTCCTTTTCAATCTTCCTTACGATGAATTCCTATTACTTGCACGCTATTCGCTCGCATGGCTTCGTAGGCTTAGTCCGAATTTCACTAATATACTTGCATATTGTATAACCAGTCATTGATAATGCTGTGCTTGTTCTTATGTAGAAAGGTATGAGTAGTTGTCAAACACACATTCTAGATGTGTAGTCATGGAGGGCATACAAAACACGTTATATCATGGTTTGAAAAAGAAGACGAGTGTCCGGTAATGGGATGTGATTGCAGGTAATGAATCTGTTTAAGCAAATGCTTTGTTTTATATTCATTATTAAAATCACTTCCGTCATACTTCTAGGATATACAAAGATTCCATAATTAGACATAAATATTCCTTTTTACGGCGTATTTCTAATACTTTTCGCATTTTCATTCTTTTTTTCCTATTCTCCTATCGTCTAGTTTCTTTTTGATTGTTTATATCAAATTCTGTAACAGATATTTTTGAAGTCATCTGTTGAGTCGCATTGTGCACTCCTAATTCCCTTACAGAACAGTTAAATGTTGGGTTTTTGGATTCATATAGATTTTGCTATATGTCTTTCAGATGCTTATATTTCGAAGATGGAATCGATGGATACATTAAACAAACACTGTTAACGCCGTTTTAACACTCTGTCGACGTTGCCTAATTCTACTGTTTTGTTGAGTGAACGACGCTTAATTTTGGTTGCCCTCGCTTTGACATCGATAGGTGTCACAACGGCCACTCCCGAATGTTTTTTCCGACGGCATCCTCTTTTGATGTGATTTTCATTCTATAAATTGGGTTTTCTCTGCATTCTGCAAGAATTTCTGCGATTCCTGCATCCTATTTATGCTCAGTGTTCTACACACCGTCCTATCTTCTTGATGCATGTACAACTTTTGTGTACGAAAACAAACCACACTTCCACTACGCAGCCATGCTCCTGTCAGCATTTATGAAGTTGCATAGGTCATGCAAAGAATATTACAATGTTTACGTTTTAGTTTTGATCTCTTCCTATTAATGCAGTACTCGAAAGCCATCATAGCTACTGAAAATTGGAAAAAAGCACTTGTCTCTCAAAAACGGTGCTCTACACTGAATTTGTTTTCAGTTCTTCGAAGTAGAGCCATTTCTGCACACCTTACTTGGTCACACTCTGTAAGCCGCACAGCCTCAACAGCAATAGTTTCTCGCCACAAAATAAGAAATTAGTAAGAAATTGTTAAGAAGTCATCCCTCTATGCACGAGGTATCGCGATATCTGAGTTGGATAATCTATCGATTAGTTACAAGAAGTCTACGGAAAAGCATCTGTGCGCCGAAGTAAGATATTGGAAACAGCGTGACACTTTTAGGTAGTTTACACTGGTCCACTCCAGGAAAACCATCTTGACACCTATAAGTGTCATTCCTCGCGAGAGTGTTAGCATACCTCATAGTTTTCTGTTCAGTTGTGTCAGGTATGTTGATAATGTTCTTTACCGAATACACCTCATGTTTCATATGATATGTAATTTTCATGGTCTTATAATACTTCCAATGTCTTTATTAGCATTTATGCCAAGGTCTTTCATCTATGTTGTTCTTCAAGAAGGCAGTGGTTTATTCCTTAACGTTTTGCCATCACACATATTTTCTATGTGGTTCAACTCTTAGTCATGTGCGTTCGCATATTATACTCTCTCCAGAGTTTATTGTTAGTAAACATCAGATCTAGTTGTTTTTCTTCTTTCAAGAAATACTTACTTTGCTATAAAATCTAAGTAAGAGGATACAGAATAAAGAATAAAGCTCTCGTCGTTGATCAATCTCTGAAGGATGTGCCATGCATTGATGCATTGGACTTCATTAAACATCGTTAGAGGTGATTGAATCCATATCTGGCCTTTACAATGACTCCCAGTGGCCTATCGATGTATTGAGCCAGTGCTGCTATTCTCCCAGACAAGTCTGGTACAAATTTTTCGACCCAGGAGGGATAGAAGGCTTGGTGAGCCACGGGCGCGAGGTTCGATCTCATGCGTGTGTCGCAGGGCGCCTCCGACCACTGGGCCACACGAGCTCATTTTGTAAAATCTAAGTATAGTGGAGTATTGTGTATTACGACATAGTGTATTGAGGTTCATCCATCATGTATCCGATTTCGAGTTTTAATACCGCGTTCTTTTTTTCCTACTGGCAAAACTCTCGTTTCGTTTGTTACACGCGAGGAATTGAGAGTAAATTCTTTTGTGAAGAATCGGAGTTGAAATTGTCCAGCTACCGGCCACGAGAGGGAATTGCCATGGCAATATTCACATGCGATACCTAGTCAAATTTTTAGTTAGAAGAGAAGTATGTGGAGCACTTACAAGATGTTTTTTTTTGGTAACATAAGTTCTTCTATTCGTAGTTTTTGTGTTACTGATGACTAGAAACGAGGTTTTTTCTTCTAAAAAAGATTTGTAGTACTCAGTATCCTTTTCTTGTCCATGCTTAAGGAGGTGTGATTACTCTTCCACGTTCACATGTATGTCTCAGATCAAAACTAATGTGCGGTATCGGATGACCTAAGTAATTTATGAGACGGTCGCTCATGCAGTTCGGTTTTTGGTGTTGGAAGTTCACTTAGAACGCCTTCCGATTTTTTTTTAACTCGATAGGTGTGATTTCGATGGAAGAATGCCAAACCTTGTTTTCGCTACGATGCATGAGTTGACGCATGGAACGACAACCGTTCTTTTCGAGCGTTATGGACATGCGGGTTTTTGGCAGTAAACGATGACTTCTCAACGAATGAAAGATCTAAAAAGGTGAGAACATTGAAGAGAGTTTGCTCTATCTTTCTAGTTGTATTAATGTCATGTATCCTAATAGTTGCTATGAGCTACCATTAACTACAAGGTAACCACATTGCTGTCAGCATTCGGAAATGTTTAAAACTTATATTGTGATTTCAATGATGCTGAGATATTTGCAAAACTCCGGGTCGCTAGTGTTTGCGGTGGATAACGAACGCGTTATTACCCTTTCTAGGGGTTAACGCGTTCACTACCAAACCATGAGGGTCCATCGTTTCGCCTGTATCTCAACTATTTCTATCGATCGGTGCCATCAGCAATCACCTGCCAGCGGGATTGATCTGGGGAGCCCAAATCGGTAATGAATCTAGTTTAGCTGAAGCTGTAGTTATAATCACATTTTTTACTCATTATTTACTACCTACTGTTTTTATTGGCAGGGTATATTGCGAAATATTAACTGCAGGATTAACTAAATGATGAAGCGTGAGTCTCGTGTTCCACCCGTTTTTTACAACTTCACTTCCAGCTTTATATGCTCAAATATCAAAAAAGGCAGCAAATAAATTGCTGTTATATAGGGTTATTGTTATCTACGGAACAATTTAGACCGTATATATCTGATCTCCGTCTGGACCTCATTCTCGGCTCCCGTGTTCAGCTACCCATTCCTGAAAAACTAGTAAAAAGAATAAAGAATTATCTAGGCGTTGATCAGTCGTCGAGCCTTACAATGACTCGCAGTAGTTTACCGATATATCGACCCGATGCTGCTATCTCCTCAGTCAAGTGTGGTACTAACTTGCCTACCCAGCAGGGATGGAGATTGTTGGGCAGGGTCGCAGGTATCGATCCGATGTGTGTTGCATGATTTCTCCGACCAACGCGCCACAAGCACCCTTTTGTAGAAATAAATTGATAATTTGGATGGCTGAAAAGAATTTGGTGTAGCACACTCCTCTAGTTTCTCCCAACAGTTTAACGCCTTATCGTGCTGAGAGGTGTTTCTGGGTGTCGGGCTGCGATCTAAAGCGGAAAGATTCCCCCCGGCAGCGTCTCCCAAGCTGAGAAAGAGTCCGACGTTTCCATCAGGAGACCTAACTAAAAATAAACCAATACCAGGATCCACCACCGTTCGCGAATCAAAATAGTCGCATGGTGGCAAATCTCCCTGTGATCCATAAGGGCGGCTACTGCCTGTGGTGGTGACGATCTGTGGCAGACTTTGGCTAGGTTGATATCGGGACTCGACAAAACCACAATGGATAAACCAGAAAAAGTCCGAAAAATTGGAAATTATGCTGGGCCCCTCACAACTAGTGGAGACGGGCCTTCCAACTATCCAAGTAAATTGTTAATCATTGTAGCAAGTTCGAAAAGAGCTATTATAAAAGAGCTGCTTCTGTGTTGCATGGCACCAGATCCTTCTCTGTATCCGTGGTCACATTTGCACCAATAAGTTTCGGCTTGACCGGTAACGCTAATCATACATGTCACGTGAGTCCGACCTTCCGAGCCGTATGCTATCGCATTCTAGATCACAAAGTTAAAGAGATGGTCGTGTATCAGGGTGATCATTGCTTTCTCCACCATATTCTCTGTGCTTTCAAAACTGTGCATTTCCTCCTGGTCAGCTTTGGTGCTCTCATTCATCGTGCTCACATTTTGTTTCACCTATGCAGCTGAATCATTCGCAGATATTCGTACGGTTGAGTATGAATAAAATTCCATCAAGCATTTTTTTCTGCATTCATCTGAAAGTAATCGTTCCAGAAACACTATCCTAACTGGGTGATGTTTCTGTTATTCCTTTCCCATTTTAGTACAACATTCTTAGGAATTGTTATAAGTAGCTCTGACGAGACGATAGCGCACGCTTTATTGAACGTGTACACGCTATGGCTGCAGAACGGAGAAATTATTCTATGTGCCCCGTTAAGTCCTTCACTTTGAGCTGGCAGACTGTCGACGAGAAGCGAAAAGTGTAATACAACTTCACCTTTCACAGTCATTACTTTCCCGGCAAACAGTATTCCAGTATAACATTTAAACATGCTGAACTTCCCACAAAACTCAAATTTGCAGTTAATATGATTCCTTACTCCGCACTATTCAAGCCTTCCATTTCTCATGAGTCGGCATCTTGGCATTTGTCTGGGAGAAGAGCAACACCGGCTCCATTCTAGATATACACCCATAAGTCGTTGTGTAGCCCGGATATGCTTTCGATTTCCTCTGACGATGCTTGATGAACTGGAATACATGGCGCACCGTTCAAGAACTGATCAGCGGCGAGAGCTTCTTTTCTCCTTGGCAAGTCTAATATTAGTGTGTTAATGAAAAAAGCACTGGTTATCCAGAGGAAGTTAAATGGAGGTGGGTTTGGAAAATAAACCAATAGTTGCTAATAGAAGGTTAATAGCGGCTAATAAAGAGTTAATAGAAAATCGATTTTGGGAGCTAAACGAATAGTGTGTTGAG